TCCCCCTTGTAAAGCACACCCACACCTTCTCTTCCAGCCTCACACATCTGGATTTCTTTCTCCCTAGAGATGCTATGCTAAGACTTCTTCACTCACACAAGTTCCAAGATTTACCCTCAGCTCTTCCTCTTTCCCTACCCACTCTGCCTGTGTTTTTCATCTCCTGTGCTGAATGATCCCTTAGAGCTATATTTTCAGCCCAGACCTCTAAATACTCTGAACTGTACCTATCACCAAAAAACCCAGCTGACTTCCAATGAAATATGCCCCTGCCTCCATTCTTATACTGGCATCTGTATCCATGGGAATCACCCTGCTGCCTCATATCCAGTTACTAGGCAGTGGAGATTCTTATAGTCATCCTGTCCTTTCCATGTTCAGGCCTTCATCCTCTCCATCCTGGTTATCTGCAAGTGTCTCTTCCTGATGAGAGCTCCAGGTTACTGGCATGGTCTGAATGTTTCTGTCTTCCGCAAACTCATAAACTGAAATCCTAACTCCAAGGTGACAGTATTAGGAGGGACAGCCTTTGGGAGATGACTCACTCGTGAGGGTAGAGGCCTTTAAATGGAATTAGTGCCCTTATAAAATAGGTCCAAGGGAATTCTTTACTTCATCCCCCACAGGAGGACTCAGCAAGCAAGCATCATCTATGAATCAGAGAATGGGCCTCCACCAAATAATGAATCAGCCAACACCATCATTTTCTGCTTCCCAGCCTCTCACAGGAAAATGAATTTCTGTTATGTATAAACTAACCAGCTTATGGTATTTTGTCACCACAGACCAAATTGGTTAAGATAGTCATCCAAAAGTAAAGCTAGTCATGTTACTTCCTTCCTTAAAACTCTCGGAAGACTAACTGCCTGAGGTCAAAGTCCACGCTCCCTTTCTAGCAAAGTTTTTTCTCCTTTTAGAGCTCTCAAGGCTCCTGACCTAGTTTCCCCAACTCCTTTCTGGAATCACTTTGCACAATCCCTGCTACTTACTTCAGATTTGTCTGCACTTGCCTCTCACCTCTGCACTGAGCTGCTTCATGCCCCAAGATCATTGCTCTGCTGATAAAAAAATTCACTTAAAAATTATTATTCAAGAGGCACATGCTGAATCCTCACTATGAGATACAGTCCACCAGGGAACAGAAAACAAGTAAACTACTGGGGAGGAAAAAGGCATGAAAGACTAATATCCCCAGAAAGTAACATTTGAATTTAGTTGTTGTAACATTTTGCTACTATAGTATCTGCAGTATCCTTTCATACTTCTTTCATCTGGGAGTTTAAAATTCCTTTTCCCTGAGATGAGATTTTTGCCCTGCATTTCCTCTTTCTAAAATTCATGATCCTAGCAAAATGCTAATCAGATTTCAAAGTCAGCATTCCTAAGCACCCCACCCCAAGTATGCCCTCTGGCAGAGCAGAATTGACCTCTTTCCCTCCCTCAGGCCCTAATAGAAGCCTCCAGCAAGTGACATAGTATCCTAACCCTTCCCTAGGGTTGGTGCCCCAAGGCATTCCTGGGTGGAAGGAGAACCCTTAAGAGAAGGAGTAACATCCTTCTCTCTCTTAAATCCTCACTAATACTGTGCAGCTCTACAGTAAATGTTTAAATAACTGCAAAAAAAAAAAAAATCACTTAAAAAGGGCAAATTACTTTGTACATTAAGCATAAATTTTTTGAAGGATAACTGAGCAAAATCTGTAAAAATATTAAAGGGCCTAAAAGTACCACTTTTACAGAAATCCTAGTAATGGACATTATAAAGTATGTACATAAATACTATTATTAATAGAGCATGTACATAATACCATTATTAAAATAATAATGCTTTTAAAAGCAGACATAAGGATGTCCTATTCTAACATTAAATATAATTGCTAAAAAATTAACAAATGTCAATGGCCAGAAATAGTCACACAGCTAAACAAATTATGGGACATTGCTTATTAAAAGATTCCTTCACTAATAGTCACAAGGAGAAGGCTGGAGGTCAACCCATTTATGTTAAACTAAAAGATATCTGTCCATATATTAGGGGATAAAGGCTGTAGTAAAAATTGGTCATTTATTCATTAAAAAGATGTTTTCATAATATGGGAAAAAATATTTAAGAACACCCTCCAATACTTCATCTCTTGGGGCATGGAACTCTCATGAGGCAAGAAGAACCACTCATTTCTACTCTAAACTTCCTGACACTGAATTTGTCAGAATTTGTTGTAACATTTTAAAAATTTAAATACAAAGTATACATTGTTTTACTAGTTACATTTTTAATAAACATGATATATTTTAATTCTTTTTTTTCAAGCTGAAATATTATTCACAGCTGGGTACAGATCCAGCACCTGGAATAGGAACATAGAGCAAGCACTCAATTAATATTTGTTGGTGAATGAATCATGGCTCTACAATTATAAAACCTGTTATTCATGAGGAACAAAGTGTCTAACAGCCACTTCACAAACACACATAAAAGGGGCTGGGGATGTGGCTCAAGCGGTAGTGCGCTCGCCTGGCGTGCGTGCGGCCCGGGTTCGATCCTCAGCACCACATACCAACAAAGATGTTGTGTCYGCCGAGAACTAAAAAATAAATATTAAAAAAAAAACTCTCTCCTCTCTCACTCTCTCTTTAAAAAAAAAAACACACACACATAAAAGAAAGGTATCTTAACAGTTTGGCTAACAATCTGGGTTATATACTTTCTTGTTAAGTAAACTTTTAAAGAGCACACAAACTCTCATCATACAAGCAATCTTCAAACTCTTGCAAGTTTACCCAAAAAGGGGGCTCCTTCAAAACTGGAGTCCGGGATATGCCTGATCACACATACAAGCAATTTTTCACAGCATGGGAAACTAAAATTTCTCAGTATCCACACAATTACTACCACCACCTCTCAGGCCTTATCTCTTCCCCAGCAGGGAAGAGGAGACATCTATTTCTACTTTAAACTTTTCTATCAAGGAATTTGTTACAATTTGACTTAAATTTTTAATATTTAAAACAGAAACATAACTGCTAAGTAATATAGGAAAACTTTGAAGGGTGGACATAGATCTTCTATTAAAAGAAAATTAATAAGGAGCAACGAACCTTCCCAGTTTTTTTATCTGCAAGTCTAAAAYAATGCTCCCCAAATGAAAGGCCCTGTCATTGCTATTGATGGGAGAAGCAAGATACTTGGAAGAATCAAAGATAACCAAGGTTGTAAGCTTAAGAAGCTGGGATAAAAATTCAAAGGTGGGGGGGGGAGCCCTGAATGGGTTCAAATCCTATTGTTTTTAAGGAAATATGGAATATTTAACCAGATGTTAACCCACTGGATTTACATAAATAATGGCCACTATTGAACATAGCTTCCTGACTGAAATTTCCTCCCCATGAAAAGCAGTTTGAGTATTTATTTTGGAAAAGCTGGATCCAGAAATCTACTTAATTCTAAAAATCCTCATACACTCTGTATTTTTTTCTCCCAATCACTGCTCTTAATTCTAAAATCATCCTTTGTGAGGATGATTTAGTTTTTGCTAGGAAAGCATAAGGACTTAAATAGGCTGTTACCAAACACCAACAATATTTAGAGAAGGGAAGAGATTTTGAAGTACTTTACCAAATTAATATCATTGGTGCTTAGCAAGTGAGTGAATTAGCTGTGTATAAAATTAATAATCCTGAGGCTGGGGTTGTGGCTCAGTTGTAGAGCGCTTGCCTAGCATGTGTGAGGCACTGGGTTCGATTCTCAACACCACATATAAATAAATTAAATAATAAAGGTCCATTGGCAACTAAACAAAATTTTTAAAATATTAATAATCCTTTCAGCATTCCCTCTGCAATCTTCCTCTAACCCTAAATACCTCCAATAGATTCCAATAGGTCCTGAAAAGAACATTATAAAAAAGTACATTTATGCCTGCTAGTTCTCAGGCTAGATACATGGTCGATTTTATAAAGATTCACTACCATAACCATACAGCAAATATCCTATTCAACATCATAAAAGGAAGCATCATAATAGTGTCAGTAACTTTATCACAATTATTGCTTGACATTTTGCAGGAGGTCCTAACCAATGTAATAAGATGAATAAAGGAAATAAAAAGTACGAGTATCAGATAGGAAGAAAGAAAACTAATTAGTAGGTGAAATGGACAATTAGAACTGAACTGGAAATGAACTCTTTCAAGGTCTACCCACCCTGATGTGTATTTCCCCCACTTGCAATGCCTCTCTGCATACAGATGTTTAAATTCATTGGGAAATCAACCAGCAACAGTTCACTCATTAAACTTGTTACTGAAAGGGCGGGTGCCTTCACCTCTGCCCTTTCCTGCACTCTTTGAGACCAGTCACCCCGTTTCCCATTTCCTGGTGACCACAGACCTACGTTATGGAACAGGTGCTCAGTAAGTACTTGATTTTGCCATTTCATGTCACTGCCGAACTAAAAGAAGAAGAGGAAGAAAACTTTGGAAACCCTCTAAAATCAGCACATGTGTTTACTCCGGCTAATAAACAGCTACCAGAGGTGGTTTTAAACAAGTAACATGTGTTTCATCGGAACGAATCCTACAGAACTTGGAAGCCACCATGAACCTGCCGCGAAGCTACTTCTGTCTGGACAGAGGGAGTAGCTGTGCCACCAGAGAACGCAGCCCATCCTGGGCTCCCGAGGGCCGGCGGCGGGGAGAATGGCGAGCGCCGCGTCCGAGCGCTCCAGTCCCCGTGCCGCTGCCCGGAGGCCCGCAGCCGGGCCGGGGGGGGGGGAAGGGATGGACCCCAAGGGTCGCGGGGCGCCCACAGCAGCCGCATCAGGGAGGGGCGCCCGTTTCCTTGACGACCGCGCCGGGGCGCAGCCCTTCTGGGCCGGGGGAGGGGAGAGGGGAGCGAGGGGACCCTGCGCAGGGGCGGCGGCGGCGGCCGGAGGCACCTCCCGGGCGCAGCAGCCACGAGCAGGGTTCGCGTAGTCCCGTCCGGGCGCAGCCCGCGCCTACCGTGTATCCCCGCTCCAGGTCACTCTCCTCGTAGCGAAAGGACGGGATGTAGACCTCCATGGCCGCGCCAGCCGGCCGGCGGAGGGCGAGCGGGGGGCGGRCTCTCGGCTGCGGCCGCCGCTCCGCCCCCGGCCCGGCCGCCCCGCCTCCCGCAGCCCTCGCCCGCGTGGCCCGGAGGCTGAGCTGCCGCGGCCGTGGTCAGCGCGCTGACCACTGCCCCCCGCGYTCTGGGCGTGTCGGGAGTCGGAGCCGGGACCCCGGAGAGGAGGCGTCGGGCTCCGGGCGSCTGGGTTTCGGGCCTAATGGGCGGCAGAGATCAGCTGGGCCCGAAGGAGGCGGGGCCTGGAAACCTGAGTCTGCAGAAAAGGGGTGTGCGCGCCGCCGCGCCGGGCGCCAGGACAGGGCCGCACCCCGGCACTCCCAGCCCCTGAGGCTCCCTAGGGACTGAGGTTTGAAATTTGCAAGACGCCACCCCTAGCAGATTAAAAGACARCAAAGAATAGAAAATGATGGAATTTTAAAATTTTTGATTTGGTTGGCTGAATTTTCGGTTTTTGCTCTTTGCTGGCATTAACAGCAATGAACCCTCCAACTTTTACTAAGATTCCTATTTCTCTTGGACTCAAGGGGYTGCGTCCCATTCTGAGTTAGCCTGAGTTAGCCGCTGAACGTGGGACTAGTATTGTACTGAAGAATATGAACGTCAACCCGCCACTGGCATAAACCCTCTGGCTTCTAGCTCCAATTGTAAGCACTGCCTCTAAGTAACTGTAAGGGTTGAGAAAATAGAAGAGGAAACATAAATAAATAAGGGGACATGACTATGACCCTTAGACCCGAACCTATCCTGAAAAAATACCTAAAAGATAAGTGGCCCAGCTGAGGAAACTTGATTATCAAGTTATTCTAGGAAACACTGAGTTTTTTTCTTAGGTGAGAGCATGGAGCAAGATAGAAACTTGTAAGTCACTTGTGGGTCACTGAGAAGTGATTTCAGCCTATCCCTTTGGGTAGTTGGGGGAGCTACAAAACTGACCTGCCATTGAGCTTTTTGGGATACAGGGAAACAGCTGCACTTCACAGGTTGCCCTTGAGGACCAGAGGCTTTTTTAAATGACAAACTCTATTGAGTTTACAGGGATCCTAAGTCATGGAGTAGAGGACTAATCCAGCTGCTTGCTCTAAGAACTTCCCTGATGTAGATCCTGCAAAGTCCTGTAAGTTAGTTTTATCTGAAATCCATTTTCATAGCCCAGAACCTATGTACTTGCAATCCCAGGATATATAGGTGGCTTTTTCTCTAAACTCAATGATATGGCTGTGCAGTGCAACTAAGCCACCTTTTTTCTTTTTTCTTTCTTACTTTGTTTTCTTTCTTTCTTTCTTTTTTGTTTTTGTTTTGTATTTTGTTTTTTGTAAACAGGTTTGATTCACTTTATTTTTCTTGTACAAAAACCTTATGTTGTATCCATAGCTGGTTCCTGAGTCCTCTGTGCAGAGAGACTTTGGTGTGGTTTTTCCTGAGAGAGAGAGACTTAGTGAACATAGTCTCTTTCCAGAGGCAGGGTCAGATAAATGTAGGTCTCAGAGATGGCATCAAAGGTGGCATTGGCAAAATTGCCCCTGTTGGCAGTGCTGCCCTGGAAGAAGTGTAGCAGTCATTAATAATGCCATCAGCAGCAGCTTCTTGGGCACAGAAGCTGAGATGGTGCCAGTGCCCCCGGAGGAGGGATGAGGTGCACCAGCACAGAACCACAGCATCCTGCCACCTTGCAAGGGACAGTATGGGGTTTTCAAATCTTGTTCCCCCGTCCTGTGGCCTTTCCACATAGGTAAAATGGAGAGTTTAGCCAGCATCGTGGCCCCTAAGATAGTGCTGGCTGCCTTCTTGGCATCCTTAACTCCTGGGTTGATATGACCATTGTAGTCTATGAAAAGAACTAATCTCTTGAACCTGGTACACTGACCAGAGTGAGTCTGCTTCTCCAAAGGCATTATCTTCAAAACCTCATCCTTGAGTCATCCTCCCAGGAAAAAGTCAATGACTTCAGACTCTTTGATGGGCAGGGAGAAGATCTCCAGGGATTTGATCTTCGTGTCCTGGACTAGGCAACCCAGTTTGGTGGCAGGGAACACTTCTTGTAATCTCCCTTGACTCTGTAGGCTCTGGGACCATCAACCCTGCCCAGACCACAGCTACAACCTTGGTCTTGGAGGCTGCTGCTAAAGCTTATGTGGAAGCCACTGCAGCCTCCCATGCCAGGGCCTCAATATGCCACTTGCTGTTTTCCCAGAGGAGCTCTTTTCTTCTGCTGGCCCAGCACCTCCTGATGGAACTAAACAGCTCTGTGGACTCTATACTGTCTTGAGTTCAGAGCTTACCTTGTAGGTTGCCATAACTCTCTGGCAACTATCACCCTGCATTGTGATTTATCTGCCTTTACCATCATGTTTCAGGCAAGTGTCCTTGAAAACCTTGTTATCTCCTGCTTAGCATAGTACTCATATTTACAAAACCAAAGAAATGCAGCAGGGACTACACTAGATAGTATCATATACTTTGTCTTATTTAAGCCTTTTTTTTTTTTTTTTTTTGATACTGGGTTTTGAACCCAGGGGCACTATTCTACTAAGCTACATCCCTAGCCCTTTCCATATTTTGCCTTATTTTTTGAGATAGGGCCTCACTAAATTGTCACACTGTGATCCTCCTACCCCAAGCTCCCCAGGCACTGGGATTACAGGTGTGCATCACTGCACCTGGATTACTTATGCTTCATAACAACCCACAAGGAAGTATATGTGTGATAGGATGCAATAGAAGTGTCAAAGGCTTGGAAGTGATGTTTCTGCTCTTTATTTTCATAATAATAACAGTTGATGATGGCAAAAGAACCCTCTCCTGCAGTTTCAAGATGGGTTAAAGCAGGTATTATAAAACAGGACTATGTACTGATGAAATTCTAGAGCCACAGATGCTGATCAAACTTCTGCTTCTGCTGATGATTCTTCTCCTCCTTCTACTTCTTCCTCTTCCTTTTCCTCATGCTCTTCTTTCTTTTCGGTTTTCAAAGTGTCATGATGTTACCCAGACTGGCAAGGAATTCCTGGGCTCAAAACAATCTTCCTGCCTCAGCCTCCTGAGTAGCTGGAACTATAGACATGGATCATGGCGCCCAGCTCGATCAAGGTTTTCATTTGCTTTCTACACCATACTTCTACAACAGTCTGCCAATAGCCTGTTATAAATATATATAAATTGTTGATAAATCTTTATTTTATTTAGTTATTTATATGTAGTGCTGAGAATCGAACCCAGTGCCTCACACATGCCAGGCAAGTGCACTATCACTGAGCCTCAGTCCTAGCCCTACTGTCATATATTTTTGAAATTACATGGCTCAATCATTTACCCACTGGACTTAGGAGACAGAAATGTGAGGGTCCATGAAGATCTGACAGATGGTACAAATGAAATCTGTTTTCTGTATTCCACTAATGGCTGTGTATAATTTACTTTTGCCTTTCTGAAAATTTATACAGGTTATCAAAGTGCTAACTGTTCTTGAGGGTCTATTAGCCCAGCCATCAGTGATATTATTATAGATGACACAATAAAGGCTAAGAGATAATGAGTAACTATGAAATTATGGGCTGATAATTGGCCAAATTAACCAATTTCTGTTGAGTCTACCAGTAAAGACCTAGAGAAAGGTATAGCACCAAAATAAAAAATCATGGTAAATTCTATTGTTCCTATGTATCTTTTAGTCTGACTCTACAATTTATGACAGTCCAGCTAAATAACTTTTCCTCAAAACATCATTAATGATATTTTTATTAATAAAAAATAAATAGCAGCTGGGAGTGGTCATATATACCTATAATCCCAGCTACTGGGGAAGCTGATGTAAAAGGATCATAAGTTGGAGGCCAGAGATGGCACTTAACAAAACCCTATCTCAAAATAAAATAAAAAGAGCTGGGGATGTAGCTCAGTGGTAAAGCACTTGCCTGGCATATGTGAGGCTGATGGATTCTATTCCCGGTGTTACATAYGGGTGTGTGTGTGTGTGTGTGTGTGTGTGCACATGTGTGTGCACACAGCACATATGCATACACACACACAAATTTAAAGGCAAAATTTGCATAAAAAGCAATATAAAACATTGAACAGTTAATATCTGCTAATAAAAGCAAATAGTTTGAGTAAGTAAAATAATACAATTCTGCTGGAATGCAGATATAAAATATTACACTAAAAGTACCATATTATCTATTATCGGGTAGAAATTTACTTGAGCAAACTGAATGATAAGCTGCGTTAAATACCAAGTTATATTAGAAATTTTAACTAAAATTTAATGTATATTAGAAATTTTGGCTAAATTCACTTAATGTCAGTATTATATATTCAACATTCAATCAGTTTAACACATTAGGAGCAAGTAAGGTTTATGCCAGAAATGTGAAGATGGTTAAAAATTAGGAAATTTGTTGCTATATTTCTCAATATTGTCAGATTAGAAAAGAAAAAAATTTCAATGGAGCCTGAAAAAACTTAATAAAACAATACCCCTATTCCTACTAATTTTCAGGCTAAAAATAAAAAAATCTTTAATTTGGTAAAGGTTAACTATCATAACCCCATAGCAAATATTTAATATCATAAGCAAAACACTGTCAGTAACTTTAATACAACTATTGTTTGACATTTTGTAGAAGGCCTTAGCAAATTCAAGAAGACAAAAAAGAGGTTCAGATACTGGATAGGAACAGAGAAAATTAGTTATTTATAGATGATATGATCATCTACATAAACAGAATCATTAAAAAATTATTGGAACTAATGAAAAAGTTTCATAAGATGCCAGATATTAAATCAATATATAAACCTCAATACATTTCATATTTGATAGTTCTCATATGCCAATATTAACCAATTAGAAAATTACATAGAAAAATATTTTATTAATGATAGCATTTTAAATTTAAATATCTAAGGATAAACTTAACAAAAATCATGTAAGATCTATATGCAGAAGATGAAAAAAATTAAAGGACATAAAAGAGCTGAAGAATAGTTACATCATGTTTTTGGATGTCAATGTTTTAAAGATATGTTTTTATAAAAATGATTTAAAAGGTTAATACAATCAAAGCTCCCAACAAACTAAGAAAAATGAAAAGCTGCTTCTAAAATTCATTTGCAAATGGATAGCTAGGACAGTTTTAAAAAGAAAAAGAGTGAACAAGGTGATAACTTATTC